CACTTTGCCAAATCTTTCCAAACTTCCTGCAAATCAGTTTTAAAGGCTTCTGACCGTATGATTAGGTACAGTTACAGCAACAACCCCACTCTTGGTACTGTTTTCTGTATTAGTCAGAGTTTCACCACTGTGTTGAATGCTCCAGGAAAACAATTTGGAGAGGAAGAGTTTATTTTGGTTCACAGTTAAAGAGATTTCACTCAGTGGTCAGCTGGGTCCAGGCAGAAATACTGTAGCAGAAAAACATGGTAAAGGAAAGCTGCTCAATTTATGACATCTGGGAAGCAAGGGAGCAAGGAAGAGCCAGAGAGAAGGAGCCAGGGACCAGATATAGTGCACCATTAACACTTCCATAACCAATGCACTATATGACTTACTCAGAAGTGCACTTTAATAATTTTTTAGGCATCTCTTAAGTAAACTGATCAACTTGACAATCAAAATTGACCATCATAATCAGCTTAACTTAATAAAAAAAAAACTTTGTTTTGCTTACAGTTTTAAAGGCTGAAAGTCAAACAGCATGGTGCAGAATCTAGAGGTCCCTTGGCAGATGCTGGATGCAAGTACAGAGGAGCATCACATCTCACAGTATGAGTGAGGCTCAGTCTTTTATAACAGCTCACTCTCATAAAACCCAAGCCCAGGAGACCAACATATGTTCCTGAAGGCAACATCCTTAAAACCTAACGACCTGTTCACATTTATGTCAACTTCTATATCTCCATACTAAGGACTACATTCTTAGCACTTAGACTTTCGAGTGACCGACAATATCCAAAATTTAGCAACTACACATATGTATAAAATAACAGACATGTTTTGACCTGCAGTATGTAGATAAAAGTTATCAAATTGCTGCCAGTATTTAAAAATTAAAAGATTTCACATAAAAATCTAGATTTCTGACTCTTGAAATCCTTATTTTGAAAACTAGAATTATGGGCAAGGGTGGGGTCTCATTACCACATGGCGACAGTGAGCTAGAGATGAATTGCAAATATGTGCAAATTATTTTGTTGACATAGTCTCATTGTTCCTTTACTTTTATGCTAACCAAGGACCTCATTCCTCCATGTTTTTTTTCTTTTTAGGGGCTTGGGATTTAGCTCAGCAGCATAAGCGCCTGCCTGACAAGCCTGAGGTTGTGAGTTAGATCCCCAGTACAAAACAAAACAAAACAAACTTACAGTGGAACTCACACTTCCCAGGCCGGTGTTTATGCCACTGAACTAAATCCCCAACCCTTCTCCATGTTTTCTTATGGTCTTATTTTTGCATTTGTGATCCTCATGCAAAAAAAAAAGAGTGCACCCCAAAGATAGTCTTTCTCCCTAGCTGGGATATTAGCAGCCTGCTCTAAGCTTTCCACAAAGTTAATTCAGGTTTGTTAACAGCCTACAAAGTCTGGTTGTTAATTCTTCACTTTCTTTGAATTTCACATGGCCTGTTTAGAAATCCAGGTAGACACTTGACTCATCCGTACCTGCGAACCTGTTCTGTTTCCTGTAGGTCTCCATGAAAGTAGCCAGTGTTTTTGTTTCCACTTTAAGCAAAGGGGGCTGCTCTAGAGATGTTCATTCCTCAGAAAAGTGTGTAGAAGAGATATTTGTGTGCTTCTATTATCTTACTTGAAAATAATTTTGAGGCAGAAGGTGAGGTAATAATGTTTCTTTTCAGATCAAAGTTATATGTGCTTAGGTTATTTGAGCTGACAAGTTTTCCTTTTTCCAGAGTATAGATTCAGGCTTCTCGGATGGACAGACTGTGTCTCTGTTGATGTTTATGATGTTGACTCTGGACTTGGCAGTCAGTATTGTTGATGAGCCTCTGATTAATTTTTAAGCAGGTTAACCTATGGTCCCAGGACTGGCTGATGAAATTTCTGCTTCAGACTTGAGGTGATCGTGAAGTGATAACTCCCTGTTCTATTTAATAAACATTTACGAAGCAATGATGAAAGGGTAGGTGTTTGAGCATGGTACTGACAAGCACTTGATGAACTAAGAAAAAAGCCATGTTGTGAAGAATGTTGTAATACAACGAAGGCTGTGGAATCAAAGGGGATAGAGACATGGTATTTGTCCTGCTTTGCTGTGAGTCTTTCAGGTCTCTAGTTATTTTTTTACCTACGGCACTGGTCTCTTAAAATATGTGCAGTTAGGGGCAAGGGATGTAGTTCAGTGCCTGCCTGTCAAATGTGAGGCCCTGAGTTCAATTCCCAGTACAAAATATATTTTATCCACAAACTTCACTAGACAAAAAATGAAATATTTGGAGCCATTTATGCAATACATTTACTTTATCACCCAGAATTTTTTAGAATGTTTATTTCCATGTATCCTGAATACTTCTACAACTTGGCTGGTTACCTGTTCTAACTAATTTGTTTTGCAGTTATTGTCAGTCAGTTTTGTTAAATAGCAAATTCAGATGAATGGCACAAAGTCAAAAGTTTTCTTCTAACTTTTGTAATGACGATAGTCCTTGGTAAAATGTCTAAGTCTAGTACTTGTATAAATCGTTTCTAGATCCCAGAAACAATACCCCTGGGCAAAGAAGACGACTAAATAGGAAATCACTGGGAGATATTTTCTAGGTTACTTAGCAAAAGTTTTTTAAACTCCATGGACTTGAACCACAGAATAAGGTTAGTGGTACTTACAAGATTTTTGTGAGAAATTACATGATATCTTCTTTCACTGGTTGAGTTTCACGTTGGTGAGATTTAGTTTGGTTTCTTGTTGTTGTAGGAGTTGTTTGTTGCTGTCTTTTCTGGTCCATAGAAAATGATTATCAACCTAGGCTTCTGGGCTAGTGTTGTATTCTTAAGGATCACGAATTAAACTTTTGAGGATGCAGGGTGGTTATTGGCCACTAAGGCTAGCTAGGAGTCAGTTTATTCCATTTTTTCTTTTTGTTCGTGTACCTAGGAGACTGGGAGTTTTGATCTCATACGAGCCTGCAGAGACTCTCTGAGATCATCCCCACCGTAAGCCCTTTGGACATGCCAAGTCCTATGCAAACATTTCATGTAGATTATTAGCGCATAATCTTCACTGCAGTACTATGCAAGGGATATTATTATTCTCACTTGACAGATGAGTAATTGAAGTTTGAGAAGTTAAGTAACTCAACTTGAATTTTTTGGTTAAGTAAGTTTTAGAGCTATAATTTAAAGCCAGATGTGTCTAACTCTAGAACCCAACCTTGGGAAAAAGATAGTTTCTGTGTACTCAAAGATTCTCTCCAGTTCATAGTCCTTTGGGACCCTATGCTCAGCCAAGGAAGTATAGATTTTTAAAAAAATTTTATTAGAGAAAAAAACAAAACAAAGCGGTGTAAGGGTACAAGTAATACAGAACTACAAAAAAAAAAGTAAAAAGTCACCAGTTAATAAATTACATATTATCATCTTAGAGATAGTTGCTCAAATCACAGTATCAAAGCATACAAAGTGGACATTCAAACAGTGAGACTGCAAACAGTTGTGTTCAATGATCCAACCAAAAACATTAATATGGTCAGCTATTTAACACCCCTAAACACACTTGCAGTTGTATCCTTTAGAGCACTTTTTTTCCCTCTCTTTTTTACAACAAAATTTACACATTTTGGGTTTTATTACTCCTTAGTTCTTATTACTTTTTTTTTGGAAGAGAATAAAGTCAAATATGGCAAAACAAAGCTGTCAGTCAAAACCAAGGATAGACATTGCATATGATGTAAAAACAGAGTACAAGGTTATCGACAATGGTTACCATAATGCCTCTTACTTCCTTAAAAAGAATTGTCTATCTCATTAGGCATTATAAAGTTGAACAAAACAGTAGAGAACAAGACCAATAAAACCTAAACCTTGTAAACATTACAGGACTTCCAAAGGAGATACTAGTTAAACCAGAATGGGCATCATAGTGAATCTTATTGCCTTCAAAGTAGTTGCCTATACCCTCAAACTTGATACTATCATACAGAACGGAACAGAGTCTAATCAGTCAAAACAAGATAGTGGTAGTATTACAGGACTTCAAATCAAGTTAATAGGAAATCAAAAAAGTTACTATAATATATCCTGCTAATATTTTTATTTTTCCCCTTAATTAAAAAATCATAAAAAATAACAAATTTTTTTAATGAATAAGGGAGAGATTGAGATAAAAGAGGACATAACAACATAACAATACAGGTCAAAGCATGACTGTTTCAGCAACCTAGTGCTTCACCACCAAATAACCCGACTTAATAGTAGTTACCATAGTGTCTTTTTCCTTGAAATATTTGAATATAACTTAGATTTTCATTGTTTTCTGAATAGCCTCACTCTGCTTACCCTGTGAGAAACTCATCTTTACAGCATGTTATATTAGATTACTGCAGCTGCTGTAACAAATTACCACAAACTTGGTGGTTTTTAATAACAAAAATATATTCACTCATAGTTTCAACACCAAAGTTTAAAAATCAAAGTGTTGGACTTCTTCTGAGACTCTGGAGAGCTTTCCTCCCTTGGCTTCCTCGGCTCCTGTGGTTGCTGGTGACCCTTGGCTCACTGTGCTGTACTCCAGCGTCTGCCTTAATCTTCACGTGACCTTCTCTTTCTTTTGTGTCTTTCTTGTATGTCTTGGTAAAGATTCTTGTCATTAGATTCAGTGTCCACACGGATAATCTAGGATAGCTTCTTTGAAATCTTAATAATCTCTGGAAATACACTTTTTTCCAAATAAGGTCACATCCTGAGGTTCTAAGAATGATGACATGGACAGGGGTACCATTCAACTCACTGTATTACGAAAGGACCCTTTTTCAGCAACCAAGCAAGTTCCTATACTTTAGCACAGCTGTTTTTCCATGGACTCAACAGTTATCCACAAGATTTTATGACTTTAGTTTTCAAAGATGATTTTTTGCCTCTACAGCGAATGGACCAATGTTAAGTCTTGCTAAGGGGCTTCCTCCAAGGTGGTCTCGGTATCTCACAAGGTTTTGTTCTCTTTCAGATTGCTGACCTGCAGCTCCATAAACTGGACGAACTGGACTGTCTGATTCAGGGCCTCCTTTATGTTGATTCTGTTGGCTTCAATGGCAAACCGGAATGTTACTATTTTGAAAATCCCACAAATCCCGAATTGTGTCAAAAAAAGCCGTACTGCCTTGATAACCCATACCCTATGTTGCTGGTTAACATGGGATCAGGTGTCAGCATTTTAGCAGTGTACTCCAAGGACAACTATAAAAGAGTTACAGGGACCAGGTAAATATACTTTCCACTAGCTATGCTTAAACCCAGGGCTTCTCCTTGAAAACTAATGTATAATAAAACCGTGTATATATTAAAAAATTTTTTTTTAAATTCTTGGCCTCCTCCACAAACCACAAGTGATTTGTTGGATAGTATCTTAAAAGAGTAAGAGAGTGACTTATATAAAAGTTAATAAAACATAATCTTGGTCCTTGTGTAAATTATGGAGAGGATGAGGGAAGCAGACACATTGTACACATCATACGTTTACCAAGAAGGTGGGGTACATTGAAGGGCAGTGAGTGCAGTAAGTCCAGTAGAAGCCAGAGAAAAGGATGCTTAGCATGGTTAAGAAAGCTTGGGCAAAACCATCTTTTAAACCTTGATGGTGCCTAGCACAGAATAACTTGCTTGAATTAATACAGTATTCTAAATATCAAACAAAATAAGGTTTATGAAGAATGCAGTGTTTCAGGTATGCTTTAGTTGAAAACTGGAATAGTAAACACAGCACATAGGGAATTTTTGGATGCAGTAGTTAGGAAAACAGCCCTATGACCACAGTTTGTCTGAATACTTTATTTTTTAAGATACATACCTGAAAACTATATCCATTCCATAATCCTCGTTTCTGCCATGAAGGCTATTGTTTAGATGGTTCTAACTCAAATTCTGCAATATCACTCCCCCATTAGGAGGTAAGCTTAGTTTTTCTAGTGTTTTCTAGTATGTTTCATGATCTCTGATGGATAATAAATGAGTAGTTTACCCACTGGGGAGGGAAGATTAATCCTCCTAGGAAATGTTAGACAATATCTAGAGATATTTTTTGACGGGAGGTGGGATGCTACTGAAAACTATTGTGAAGCCAGGAATACTACTGAAACCCTACAGTGCACAGGGCAGCTCCTCCAACAACAGATTATCAAGCCCAAATGTCAGTAGTACTGCTATTGTAAAACCTTGGTTTGCATGCATGCATGCAGACACACATTTACTTAAGACTGCTTGGTTCCAGAGTACAGGCTCTGTTATTTCAATTATTTGCTGCTACACCTGCATTTGCTCTCTGAGAATGCAGAAGCTCATATACTTGATCAGTTGCTCAGACAAAATTGACCTCATGTCCATGTTAGGAATGGTCAAGAGTTTTACAGACAAGAATATTTTAGCTGAGCTGGTTTTAGTTTAGAAACTGATCTCCTATAAAGGTAAAACTTTAAAGAAATTTCAGACTTCTTCCCAGAAAGAATGATCGAGTTGTTAAACCTAGTCCAGGGAATAACAAGCTAAAAATTTCCCACAATCAGAGATGAATGAAACACAGGTGTACAGTCTCATACATAGAAAAATGTAAGGATCTGGTCCTCTTAAGTAGCTGCTCGGGAACCATTGCAGTGTTTGGCTTCTGTTACATAGGTAGTAATACCTGTAGTTACTGCTACAGGCACATTAATAACCAGTGTTCTGCAATCAACAAATCCTGTCTGGATGCCCAGTCTTCCTTATAAGCTCTTTCTTCAAACAGTGGATTTATAAACATGCTACAGGAGTCAGATGTCTCTTAGGGGCTGCCATGGCAGTAGGTGGGAATGAAACCTCAAGTCAGTGGAGCCCCTGATTAGTCCTTGTCTAACCAGAGTTGTTCTGCTAAAGATTTCTTTTGATTCAAACTTAAAAATCCAATTATGGTTAAGAGTAAACATCAATGTGTAAAACACACTTTGGGAAACACTCCTCTAAGGAAATGGTTTAAGCTTTAAATTTTGAACTCCAAATTTTTGTTACTGAATTACAGTGTATTTTCCTATTATGTCATTACAAGCTATCAGATTTCTTTTAAACATGATTTTAAAAGGTTTGCTTATATGTAATTTTGTTGTGTCACAGAGTGGGTAGCAATGTATTTTTTTTCTTTAGTATGCCACCCTGATTTTAGTATGGAAGCCAATGCAAAAAATACTACTTTACAGCTGACAAATAGAATGTATAGTCCGTTAAAAGAGGAATGTAAAATCTTTGAAACTTTAATGAAGGTAGCAGTACATCTCATTTGATTATTTGGAATTCATATGACTGGTCATCAATGACCAATGTTCTGCAATTCTCAACAATTATGAAAATGAGTAACTGAATATTTCTTCTACTTTCTAAAATGTTTTATTATAATGAATAATGACAGTACTCAGGAACTTTTTCTGGAAACACATTTTTGTCTCTGATATACTGAGGGTTTTGCTGTATCAGACAAAACAAACAGATGTGTGATTGTGAGTAAGGAATTCATTTGATTAAGTAATGGTCAGCAAGTTGAGGGTATTAATAAAAGTGCTAGGAGACTCTTGGCTCTTCTGTGACCTTGCATTTTCCCCTCCTGTTTGCAGTGTCTCAGCTGTGCTATGCATGCTTGCTTTCCCCATTCAGCTCTTTATCTGGTGTCACCTGTCATTTTCCAGTCATACTTACCGCTTTTCACTGTACCAACACATCTGTTGATGAGTTACCTTCTTTCTAAGTCAGCCAATATCTTCAGTTGCCCACATTTTGAGATTACTGAATCCCTATTGTTCAAAGAAAGATTATTAGGAATAGAAGGTACTGAGAAGCTAGAAATGGAAACAAAGACTTCTTTTAAAAAAATATATGAGGAGAAAACAAAGCAAATCTAGATGACATACAACCCAAAAGGTTTTTCCATTAACTAAAACGCGCTACTAGCAAGTCCAGGGATACAGTTCAGTGGTAAAGTGCTTGTGTGTAGACACTGGATAAAAACTCTGTAGTACCACACATACTAAAAAAAAAGTCTGTATTTATCTTTGTGGGGTAGCATAATATGCTATATTAAATATAAATGAAGATAAACTTTCTTAGAAGAAATTCAGACTTGTCTCTGTAAGAATTTGTCTCTGTAAGAATTTATAAAGTGCTTTGTTTCCTCATGGCACTGCACCCACTATTTGGATAACTGCTGCTACATAATTTTCCAAGAACCTATAATTTCAATCAAAGAGTATTGTTTTGTTTTGTTTTGACTTGATTTTGCTGTGTGGGGGATTAAACCCATGGTTTCACACATCTTAGACAAATGGTCTGCCACTGAGGTACACCCCCCAGCCGGAGGAAATAATTTCAATAAAAAACATGATTTAAAGCTATTACATATTTTTGCTGTATGTACAAGTTAAAGAACTATGCACATGCCTGTCTATAAACTAATACTTCTTGTTAACCTTCACTGGCAATAAAACATCATTTACTCTTAATTTTTTTCTAATTTTAGTTAAAAATAATTTTAACCTCCAATTGATTTTTCTCTTAGAAGCCAACACTCAAAAGCAAATTGGATTCCCAGAACTAGTAGTTCTTTGGAATTTCAGATCCAATTGGTACAAGCAACTTTCTTATGTTTATTTTTCAACTTGGTAAACAAAAGATCAAACCTGTGTTCAGGTTTAGGCATCTGAGCTACTTCCCCTGCTGTGAGTCCTTGGCAGTCACTTTACCTATAGGGGTCTCCTGGTGCTGGGTTCACCCTGAGCCTCTTTTTTTGTAATTTTTGTCTAAAACTATTTTACAAGAATTTTCCCTAAAACAATTGAAGGGTTTTAAAGCATAGTTCAAGAATTGGAACCATTTTGTGACCTTTGTTATTTTTTACTCTTGGGTGGTAAGTAAAATACAGTAACTTGCCAAAGTTTACTAGAAAAAAAACTCGAACATTACATAGATTAATAGTTCTGTTCTTAATGTATCTGAGGAGGTAGACTGGAAGAATCAAGCAGAAAGTCCAGCAAAGTCAAAAAGAAGACTGCTGGCGGCATCATGAGTCCATTTTGTCATCAGACAATTTGGCTCCATAGATGTGAACTACGGTCACATGCGTTTTCTGGGTATTTGTATTTTATCTACATGTTTGTAAAATATCGGTCATTTCCCTGGCTATTTGCTGCTTTCAGACCACCCAAATATAAGAGATCGTGGCTTGGCCCCGTTTTATAGGTGGAATACTGACTGAAGTGTTTAGGTTAGTGGCTAGTTGAAGGTCTCACAATCAGTGAGAGTGTTTCTCCAGTTTTGTTCTCAAATTTTGGGGCAAGTTTTCTTTGATGTTTTAGTTTCTGCCCTTTTCTTATCCAATCTGTCATAAGGTTCTTTTGCTTCTAGCACTTTCAAGTACCCCTTTGTTTTTCCCTTATTTTTCTTAACCCATATTAATAGCCTTAATGTAGCTGGGGACTTGGGTTTATCGTAAAGTCAAATTAAAAAATAAACCTTATTATTCCTTTAGTCTTGGAGGTGGAACATTCCTAGGCCTATGTTGCTTGCTGACTGGTTGTGAGACCTTTGAAGAAGCTCTGGAAATGGCAGCTAAAGGAGACAGCACCAATGTCGATAAGCTGGTGAAGGACATTTACGGAGGAGACTATGAACGATTTGGCCTTCAAGGATCTGCTGTAGCATCAAGGTAGAGATTAAGTAGCTAGGAGCAGTAGTGACTAAACTCAGAGCAGCCTCTTCACCTGGGCCATATATTTAGTTATTTTTAAAAGTTTCAACCTACCAGTGTGGTGCAAGTAGCTACCATATCAGATCTCAGACTTGGTCTCCTGTCCTTTATGAAGCATCTGAGATATTTTGCTCTTATGCTTGTGCTTAAAATAAGGCAACTTTGAAAGAAGGTTCTGAAAAACTGCAACAGTTTCCCCTGGTCCATTCTTAACCAGATGTCTATAGGCATTAAAAATTGTCCCATCCCCATTAATAGCCATACTGTTTTGCCCCTGTTCAGGAAGGAAATCTCCAGGTATTCATACTATATTTCTGTCTGCTTATAAATTATAGCAAAAATCAGGTCTCTTGAATTTGAGCAGTTACTTAGAGCTTCTCACAGTGCCATGGTAGAAGCGTGGGTCCTCCTGAAGGTGATTTTGAACACTCTCACTGATATTTCCAACATAGCTTTGGCAACATGATGAGTAAAGAAAAGCGAGAGTCCATCAGCAAGGAAGACCTTGCCCGGGCCACACTGGTCACCATCACCAACAACATCGGCTCCATTGCTCGGATGTGTGCATTGAATGAGGTAAGGCCAACCCCAGGAAAGCATGCATCATTGTTACACAGTGATTTTAGCAATGGGATGACTTCCTGTTACAAAACCACTTGTCTATCACTGGGAAATCTGCTCTGCACCATCTGATTATACCTCATGGAGTGGGAGGGATATGCGTTGCATGTATTTTAATAGACACACAATACTACGTGATAAATGATCCGGCTGTGGAAACATGGTGAAATTCCAACCCATGCCATAAACTCTTATCATCATTGCCATGTGCCCCTTAAAATGTGAGGAAAAGCTCTGACTATCCTTTTAAATAATTGTAGATTAAATGCTTCCACTTACGATATTTGATATTCTCTTTGCTTTCAGCTTCTTTACAGTGTTGCCTTGTGGCATGGAGATCAAGCAGCATTGTACAGGGCTATCAAAGCACAGAGAGCTTGCTGCAGTCAAGGCCACCCAGAGCCCCAGTCACAAGAAGGTGTGGAGTCGGTGATAGAGAAAGCCTTATCCACGTGTTTTAAAACATTGCAGAATTCCTTTTGAGAAAATGGACCTCTTCTTTGAATTATAAGACTTATAAAGTAGGGCAGCTCTCTTTACTGAGCTATGTTAGAGAAAACAAGAAAAGGAAGTTGAAGCATAGAACAAGAAGTAGGAGAGATATTAAAGAACCAGAGTAGTAGATCAGCTTTGGAGTTTTTAAATGTATAATTTTAACAGAAATATGACATATATGTAGAAGAGAGCTAAAATTGTAATTGTAAAACTCAGTGAATTTTCACAGACACACATCTGCATAGTCATCACTCAGATCAAGAAAGAACATTTCAAGTACTTGGAAACCCCTCCAAGAGACCTCTCACAGGGCCCTCCATAGTGGAGTGTCAGGATACAAGGAATTCTTTACAATGGGTGGATGCCAGCCCTGCATTTGAGCTTTGGGGTTACAAAAGAGACATCTACACGGGCATGGGGTAGGGTTCTAACTTTTGAAAGTCCCTAATTCAGATGCAGTTTAACTGGGAGACTGGTAAAAGTATTTCAGAGACTGCCTTTTCAAAGTCCGCTTTGGTCATGAGATTCATTTTTACAGAAGGGTTACTTTTTGGCATTCACCCTTGAAACGTGTTTTTCCAAGTAGCCAAACAAGCTCTAAGACTGGGCAGCTGGCTGTACTCAAGCACTCTCAAAGGTCAGTTCCATGGTGATACCCCTTGCTTCATAGAGCAGTGGATGCTCTTTCCCCTACTTACACAGTGCCTGCCTTTGGGCTTGCATTTGTGGCTGGAATGAGCCAGCAGGTCTCTTCAGGTGTCATAGCCCTTCACAAGAAAATGATTGACTGTGTCACTATTGGAAATGTTGCCATGTTACACACTGGTTTGAGCAACAATTGTACATGTTTCTGTAAAGTTTAATGAATGGAGGGACTCCATTTATTCCTTTGGAGCCCAGGTATCCTCAAAGGGTGTTCAGCCAGCCCAGGATCCCAATGAGACATACAGATGACTGGCAGCGTCAGATTTTCTTGTAAGAGCAGGAGCCAAAGTTTTTAGTCCTTGCATTGTTGTCTGGAGTTGTAGACTTGAGAATCTTTGATGCCAGCCATTTCACAGAGGGTGGCACCATGTTTACTGGCACTGCATTAAAACGTTTGAGTTGTGATGGTTAGCATGCTATGAGATGTTTCCTCATCAACTTTAAATGTTCCCATTTATATTTTTGAATAGAAATACCGACATGTAATGCAGAGTTCTAAACACAGTAGAAAGGCCTAAAGGGAAGTGAGTCAGCGTGTTCATCCTGCACCGCAGTGTGAACCTCACTAGATGTAGGCAGCCCTGGTTTTTTGCTGGTTTTTATCCTTTATTGTGCAGAAGATCAATACCCTTCCAAAGCTAGTAAACTTTACATAGCTTTCCTTTTTTAAGTAACAGCTGTACTGAGATAGAATTACGAACCGCACAGTTTCTGCGCTCCACCTGCTAGTCTACATCTTGCATTCTCATCTTTATTGTGAATACTGGTAAACGTACGTATAGGAAAGAGAATAGCGCAAGAACCTCTCTATTTAACCTTTGGTTCTGAGTCAGCATTTGTCAAGACATTGCTATACATGCTTTATCTGTTTTATTCTTTCTTGTGTTCCTCTCACCTCGTTCTTTTTCTTTGCTAAAATATCAGAAATCAAATCCAGCTGTTATATCAATCCACCTGTATTTGTATGCAGCTCTGAAAATAATTGTCCCTTGCTTTTTTAAATAATATCTTTAGCCTTTCATATCATATATTTTAAATTGTGTTGCTTTTAACCTACAGATATGTTATTTCAATTTGTTTTTGTACTGAGATTTTTTTTTTTCTACTGTTGTGCACTATTACAAAGTTTGCAAAACTAGGCATGGTAGCTCACGCCTATAATCAGCACTCAGAAAGCTGAGGTAGGAGGTAGGAGGATCGCTGAGAGTTCAAGGCCAGCCTAGGCTACATAGTGACTTCAGGTCCAGCCTGAACTACATAACAAGACCTTATCTCGGTAACTCCCTTCCTTACCAGAAGACGCTCACAGTGTATTTTATATATAATGTACACATAGATGCATATATAGGTATATATACAAACAGTTTTGAATACATGTCATTATGTCTATATGGCATAAATTCCAGAAAGGAAATTGCTGACTCAAAGAACATGTTGATTGTAATTTTCACAAATACTATACAATTCCCTCCATAAAGGTGATTACATTTCCACAAGTCAGTATAAAAGTACAAATTTCTCCAAAGAAGGTTATCAAAGTTTTCATCTTTTCAACCTTAATAGGTACCTCATGATAAGTTAAACATTTTCATGTATTTAATAGCCATTAGTATTTTCCCTTTTATGTACACGTGAGCGTTAATACTGTTCAACTATTTCTCTGTTGAATTGTTAATTTATTTCTTTATTGACTTGTAGAAATAATTAAGTAACAAATCCATCTTATATGCTATGTACTAAGAATATGTTCCATTTATTGCTCACCATTTGAATTTGTTTATGGTGATTTCCTCCTGAATAAATGTTTGATTTTTCAAGTAAATATAACAATTTTTAATGTATATTGAACTTTATATTTAAATAATTTTTAATTTTTTCGTGTTTTCCATTAGTCTTTTTCCCTTGTTTTTTCCTTTTGATTCTTCCTTCCTCCCTTTTTCTCTCTCTCCTTCCTGCCTTCCTTCCTTCCTTTTTATACATTAGGTGTTTGACCCATCTGGAATTTATTTGAAATACAGAATGCTCATCAGCTTTTAAGCCACTGCTGCTTTTGGCTTTCTGTCATAGCAGTATAGCAAGTCCCACCTTGGGCTCCTTAAATCTAATACAACTTCTCTTCTATTTTTCTTACTTTGAATATTCCTTTCCACCTTTTAGTATGGGCAGTTTGTTGCTACAGTTCTTTTTTAATGGAATTTGTTAAGTCCTCCCTTGACCCTTTCACCCATGGAAAATTGTCAGCTGCTAATGACCCCACACACATGCATTGTTAAAATTTGTGAGAGCTAAAAGGTGATGTTCCCAGACCCTGATTACTCCCAAAAGACTGAGCAGAAAGTAATGCCTCTATCAAAAACTCTCTTGCCTTTGTTGAGTGACCATGACAACTGCCTCTGTGCTGAGTGAGTGCTCAGCAGTCCCTCCAGGGTGGACGGGCTGAGCTCAGTCTCATGCTTAAGAAATACTTTGAGGGGTACAAAGTACGTTGGGGATGGAACCTTAGGGAATTTGAAGCCTGTCTGCATGGATAGGACAGGAAAAAATGTTCATAAGTGTATATTCAGGATGCAAATCTATATCCATGGTGTCAAAAATATGTGTGTATTTTGTGTTACCATATCTTTTTTTTTTTTTTTTTTTTTTTTTGAGACGGGGTTTTTGTATGTAGTTTAGGCTGTGTTTAAACTCATTGCATCACCCAGGCTGGCTTCAAACTTGTGGTGATTCTCTTTCCTCAGCCTCCCAAGTGCTGGGATTACAGGTGTGTGCCACTATGTCCAGCTGTGTTACATTTTAACCCACATATTGACCAAACAGTGTATTTCACCATATATCCTAAGCACAGAGCTTAGGATACTTTATGTTCCCAGTATTCAGTACAGAGCAAATTCATTAGATGAATGAATCATTCCATCACCATTTCATTTATCAGTTGTAACAATATTTTATTTTTGAAAATGTCAAGGATTAAGATAATGTACAAGAAAATTTAGTTGAAGCTTGAACTCAAATTCTAATTTAATGTGTGTGGGAAGCTGAATTTCATATCAGACCTAATGCAATCTGACATAACAGCTGCAAGCAAGACCAGTATTTGTTGCCAACCAAAATCTCACTCTTCAGTTCTTGTGGAATGTGCTATGAGATTTTTCCACTTCATTGTTGAAATAGTTCCACTTAAAATTCACTGCACAAAGTTCTGTACAAAGATATAGAACATTTGGTCTTTGCTAAATGTTACTTTTATGCCACATTCATTTGTTTTTCTTTAACTTCTTTTTCAGAATATTGACAGAGTTGTGTTTGTTGGGAATTTCCTCAGAATTAATATGGTCTCCATGAAGCTGCTAGCATATGCCATGGATTTTTGGTCCAAAGGACAGCTGAAAGCTCTTTTTCTAGAACATGAGGTAGGTTGAGCATAGATGTTAATTGTCCTGTGTGGAGTATATTTTGATTTGTCTAACATATAAGCAGGTCTTTTAGTTTTAAAACTGACCAAGTAGAAAATTTGCCATTTAAACTTCACATTTATATAAAGATTAAGAAAGAACTATATATAAAACAGAAGCTCCTTATCAACAGTTTATACTGATTATAATTTAATTTTTTTAAAAATCGCTGGGCATGTGAATTTAGTGTACCCATTTTGGAAAATTATAGAGTTTCTCAAAAAAATAAAAATAGAACCACCATGGGGTACAACTACCATACCTCAGGGTATTTACCCAAAAGACTTGAAATCAGTGGCTTGAAGAGATGTCTATATGTCCATGTTCATTGTAGAACTATGCACAATAGCCAAGAAATAGAATCAGCATAAGTAAGTGTTCATCAGCAGGTGAATAGCAAAAGAAAACGTGGTACATAGTAGCGTACACTTCAGCCTTTAAAAAGAATAAAATTCTATCCTTTTTAACAACATGCATAAAATTGAAGGACATTATGCTAAGTGAAATAAGTCAGGCACAGAAAGACAAACAGCACATTTTCTCACTTATACATAAATCTAAAACAGTATAATGTAGAGAAGCAGAGAGTAGACTGGCGATCGTAGAGGATAGAGATAGAAGGACTAGGCAGCTAGTGGTAAAGGAAACAAGACAGGAAGAAAAAGCTTTTCGAGATCCACCATATAGTATGGTGAAGATAGTTAATAACAGTATATTGTCCATTTCAAAATAGGAAAGTAAATTTCAGATGTTCTTACTACAAAGGAGATGGATATATTAAATAGCTTTACTTCACATTATATTCATAAGCCATCATATCACTTTGTACTATACATTGGTCGGCTTTTCCATTGCTGGACAAAATAGCTGACACCTGCAACTTGAAGGAGGAATTTATTTTGGCTTATAGTTTCAGAGGTGTCAGTCCGTGGTTGATAGTTTCCAAAGGAGAAACCTCGTGGCAGAAGAGTGAGGCAGAGTAAAACTTCTCATTTCATGGTGGCCAGGAACTAGAGTGAGCAAAGAAGTGCCAGGGAAAAAGGGGCCAGGACCAGGTATAGTCCCCACGGTCATGCCCCTATGACCCACTCCTCCAGGTAGACCTCAGCTCCTAACAGCCGATTCAGTTGTGAAGTCATGACCACTGATAAAGTTTGTGCCCCACGATCTAGTCATCTCTCCATGAGTCTCTTAATCCTGTCTTATCGACAATCAGGATTAACTGACACACACCCATAAGTATATACAATTATAAATGTCAATTTACAGCGAAACTTAAAAATTATAAAGTCAATTAAAATAATCATTAAAAATATCTCCACTTTAGCAGTTTTGTTTTAACTTAAAAATATATAAATGTGTATTTAATTGTCAGTCTTTTGATGTAGGACCAAAGTTCATTTTTGAGCCCAGCTTATGCTTAGGAGACTACTGTAGCTGTCTTGTACTCATAATCTGTAAGTGTTGTGCACCTTCTTTGATTTCCAGTGTATTTCCTTAAAGTGAATCAAGAAATTTAAGGTATTTATGAAATAATTTGGTTGCAGAATCCTTCCCAGATTTTTCTCCTTCTTATTGTGGCATCCACCTAAGTAGAAAGCCATGATTTGTGATTACCTTTTTCATTCTTTTTCAAAAGTTTGTCAAATTTATTTTTGCACTCTTCTTATTTGATATATATATATATAGTTAGTTAGTTAGTTAGTTAGTATAGATTATTAGCAGTACAGCAGCATAACAAATGTGAAGGTAAACACAGCTGACTTTTGGCAAGTAAATGTCTAAACTAGTGAGCACAGACACACTTGGGCTTCTAAGACTAATCTATTATCCTTGAGAGGTCAGTGTGCCTGGCCAATGATAAACCTGTTTACGGGGAAAATAGCTCGGTTCCTCCCGAGATTCTTTTACATGCTATATCTACTGTGATAGGAATCAAGGTTTCCAAGAGCAAGCGGGGTGCCCTCCCTTCTCCCTACTTCCTCTGTCACCTCCTTCAAGATGAGAGCTGTGGAGAGCTACCATTTATCACAAGTCAGACCTAATCTTTTGTATATAAACTTTAGAAAACACTGCAAAGTTAGTATTCTAAACTCCAACTGTAATGAATAACTGCTGCAGATTTTTTTATCTCTGAAATAAATTATTTGAGAAGCTATTGATGTAGTTGGAAGTTATATGGAGCTCTCTATCTGCACACTTTGATTTATTAGAGTATATAAAATGAAATAAACCTAAATATAAATAATAAAAACCCAATGATAGAAATTAACCCTGAGGATTCTTTGTCTCTGGCTTTCTGTATCTTTCTCTCATAGGCTTAAAGCGTGGAGTTATAAAAGTTTGATTTAGATGAGAGGGAATAAAGTCCCAGCACATTCCCTCTTCCTCCCTGCAACCCAAGGAGAGCCCTTTGATTCTTCTTATTCATGGTTTCCATGTAAAGTTTTGTTTGAAAAAGAAAATATATCACAGCTCAAAAACATAAATGAAAGAAAAAAGAGAACTACTATTTGAATTCAGTACAGTCGTCACAGCAATAAAAACGCAGCATTCTCAGTCCTTACATCTGGCATTTATCTGTATTTTGTCTGTCAGCTTTATATCTAGATCTTGACCCAATGCGAAGGACGAACAAAGGCTATGAGCTACCAGGGATGAAAAGTTACCCTTAAGATTATGTGGTTTTGGTTCTAAGACAGGGAATTTGAGCCAGCGTTTTTATAAAAGTTACTTGTATAGGTAGTCGTGCAGTAACCTGTATCACTGTGCGGTCCTCAGCCTCTGTAGATTGTAATTGTACAGATTTGTTACTCTACATCCCAACTCACTCTCTGTGGCCAGTGAACCTCTTGAAAATGTCCTCTGGAAAATTCTCCACATTCTTAAATTCATTTTGGCTTAGGTAGGCTTTGCTAGGAAATACTAAGAGGGACAACTTCTAGGAGGCAATGCATTGGCGATTTTCAGGTCACTTGCCCTTGGCCTGAGGAGACCTTGCTTATTGATTTCTCTTTCACTCAGCTAGCACCGTGGAGCATCTCCTAACGAAAGTAGTCAAGCCAACATGTTCAAAGTTTAACCTTTTGTTGACTGAGATCTTAGATAATAACTGCCTCTTGGGCTGGGGATTTAGCTCAGCAGCGTAAGTGCCTGCCTGACATGTGCAAGGTCATGAGTTCAATCCCCAGTACCAATAAATAAATAAATAATAACTCTGCCTCTCACTGTTTTAGCATTTTTAAAATGAGCTGATAAAATGTGTCTCCTAGAGTCATTGTGGAGATTAAATGAATACATTCATTTAAAATACTTACAAAAATTCTACCAGTTAGTAACGCCACAACAAATGCACCTGATAGCAACAGACAGCAAAAGTCCTGCCATATCTTGACACATCCATAGACATCGCAACAGTAACTGGCAGGCCAATGCCAGGGTAGTACAGTCTCTTAGACTTTTAGAAACCGGGTTGCTATGGATTGACTATTTTGAGTGTCATCCCAATTCATGTGTTGAAAATCCCCAAGATTATGGTATTTGGAGGTAGTGCCTGAGAAAAGAGATTAGATCATGAAGGTTGACTTCTTATAAACAAGATTTGCATCCTTACAAAAGAGGACCAAGAGAACTACCTTGTCTATTGTGCCATTCACACGGCAGAAGAAAGTGAGAAAGACAGCAGTCTGTGAATACCCCTCAACAGACATCTTAATCTTGGTCTCCCTAGCCTATAGGAATTTAAGAAATAAATTTCTAATTGCTTATAAGCCATCCAGTTTAAGAAGCCCAACAGACATAAGGTACAAGTTTTTTTTAATTTCTAGGATTCACTTCCTTTCATTTTCACAGAAACAGGGGCTTCTATTTTACAAATGGGCAAAGTGAGCCGCTGGGTGACTTAACAGCCTTTCCTGAATCCACTGACAGAAAGTTTGGGCTTTCTCTGTGAAATAGTTTGCCACTAGACAGAACTGAGCATTGAGCCCTGGCACAAGTCTGGAAAGAGCATTAATTTAGTTTATACTTTTCATTTTTCATCTGTGAAACAATTTGAATTTTGTCATGGCAAAGATTGAAAAGAAATAGTTACAGCACTAGCAGTATCCTGCATTTACTTGGTGCACACCATGTGTCAGATACTATTCTAAACACTTCACGTGTGTTAATTTATTTAATACATATAAAAAAGTAGGCTTTCAAAAAATTCTTGCTGGCATTTTTACCATATTTCCTAGCAAAGAGTTTGTTTGGCTTTGTTCTGTTTATGGTACTGGCAATTGAACTATGCACTCACTTGTGCTAAGGATGCACTCTGTGCCTGAACTGGCTCTCCAGCCTGACAATTCAGTTTCCAATTTTCTCCTTCCTCTATAAAATAAGGGGTCAACATTTCTAGAATTATTAAACATACCAGGTCTTTGGCTTTCCGTTGTCTTTTTATAGGGCTATTTTGGAGCTGTTGGGGCCCTGTTGGAACTGTTCAAAATGAATGATGACCAGTAGAGGTGAGCAGTAGTCGAAATTCCCGCCAGTGATCACAGAGAACTGACAGTCGCTTCTGGAGAAGGTGGAAATTGCTGTGGAATGGAAGGCAAGCCATTATGGCAGATTGAACCTGCTGGATTTGTAAATAATTTAAAATCCTTCTAGCTGATCTTTTATTCTTAAGTTTGACCATATGATTCAAAATGGGGAATATAAGAGTTTTTTCTGTATATCATATTTTTTAAAAAAATTTTTTTGTGCAGCGTGGCCAAACCTATCAATTTTATGTATTAACTTTGAAAAAATTGTATGATGTCTAAGAAGGACCTGAATTGTAAGTGCTGTTCATTTTTCTTCTGGGGTTTACTGATCAGTGTGATAATTTTAACTTCATTTAGTAATTACTCTAGGAGATTTTACCTTTAATTATATTTTTCATGACGTTTCATGATTCACTGTTGGTTTCAAATGAAACTGCAAATCTGGCATGTATTACTGTGAACACTATTTCTGTTTGTTTGTTTATCCTTTTTTTTTTTTTTTTGGTTATTTTCAGTGTGAATGTTATGGAGGAAAGAAAACCCTTCCTCCGTTTATATCTTGGAATAGTTTCCCTCTTCCTGTCCCATAGCTTCTCTTTAATGTAATCGTTCATATCAATCAAGGTGCTGACCAACTCATTACAAAGTTAAATACACAATCTAAAGGTCTCTAGAATGCCCATGTGAAAAAACACTCAAAACATATTAATAAACTTAATGAGTTTGGCAAAAAATTAAAACTCCATGCAATTTGATTTTATCCCTTATAAATAATATTTCATTGGATTATTTTATGCTGCGTTATGTTAAATTGAATTATTCTTTGATAAAATGTCCCTACTCATATATATACATAAGTGACAGCAAATTCTTGTGCAAGAAGTTTGGCAATAACTGGGGGAAATCTCCCAGGAGCTTAGTTATTTGTCAGATTTAGGGGAATTCATGATGTGAGGTGTCAGCGAGTCATAACCATCTGTTTTGTACCTGTGTGTACACAGGAGCTTTGTAACAAGACATTTTAAATAATAGCGTTAATGTCCTCTTTATTTTTAATATTTTAAACTGAAAACTGGACTTCAATGCCAATTTCTAAAATTAAAAATTAATTTATGGTACTAAACATATATAATTTTTTGAAAGATTCTACTGTCTTTCAAATGAGGGTGTTATACACAGATTGGAGCACACAAGATCTAATGATCTTCTGAGTGATCACTGAAAGGGACTTTTGAAGGGCAGTACAATTGCTTCATGATGAATCTTCCTTTCTCTGCCTTCTGAGCACCATCTTTAATTTACATATCTTTAAATCTTGAAGAAATTGATGCTAATTGAGAAATTTACTTGTCTGTTTGAAATAAAGCCTGTTTCTGTTGTGATGTTTTTAGTGTACATGTTATTTTCATTTCTTAATCCTTGTTTTCATGTGTTATGTTTTTGCTATTCTATATTTCTTAATTTGAGCTTTTCCCATCAATGTGACAAGGTCTAAAACTGTGTCTTCAGTCAAAGTTGTAGTCCTATGTAGAAATTTTTTTAAATCTAGCTTTATTGTTCTTACATAGCTGACTCCTTAATGCCAGACTGTCATCAGTATACTTAGTTCCAAAGGAGTTCAAAATTTGTTCATCACTAATGCATTAGATCAACTTCTGCCTTACTTGAAACAATTCAAGCAACTAAGGTCTTCTTGAGAAAGACATGATTTCTGTATTACTTATAATTAGTGCCTTTTGGCCTCTTCCATTCTCACATTTATCAAGAGACAGCAAACCTTAGATCTGTAGATCACCGTTCTGTAAAAAGCAAACCAAGGCAAATTACTGTAACTATTTTTTAAATTATATGAAATTGGTAGGTCTCTCATTACAAACTTCCTGTTTGATTATAGGGTATTGATTCTAGAGTGTTAAGTAATAAATATTTCTGAATTTTAAAACATATCTGGACTTAAGAATTTTAGATAAAAGAATTATGGAAATATAGGTATACTCTTCATCTTATGCAGTATACATGAATTCAGAGTTCCTTTGTTGAGAACTATTTAATGGATAATTGTATTATATGTTATTTACTCATGTAAGGAGTACTAAGAAATTAATGTGTACCAGGAAAGAGCTGGAGACGGAGGAATAGCAGTATTTCCAGCCAAGGTATATAATAATGAACTATAAATGCCATTCAGACATTTACAGCTGTAAACAAAACAAAGATCCAGTATCATGGGCTTATATTTTAGAAAGGAAGGTGCCAGGGATTTAGCGCAAGGAAGGAAGGAAAGAAAGAAAAAAGGAAGACAGGTTCTAAACATATAATGTTAGATCAGGTCCGGACTATGACGAAAAAGTAAGCTAGGCTACGGGGCTAGAGCAGAGATCGTTTTATTTAGGAAAATGAGGAGAGAAATGTCTTTGGTGACTGTGGTAAAAGACAGCCTTTCATGGAAAGTGGTGTTTGAGTAGAGAATTCAGTGAACTTGGAGACGTGCTGGAAGGATGATCTTTTTCACTCATGGCAATGAGAGTGAGAGTTTTGAGAATCTACATCAAGGACAGTGTCTGGAGTTTAAAAAAGAAAGAGTGATGGGAAATGGAGTTTTAAGCTATCTCCTTAAGGAGTGTACTAAAAGGTGTCATGGACTCTTTACCAAGTGGACCAGAAGGGAAGCACTACCCTTCATAGAAGCTGAATAATCGGACACTCCGAGGGAAGGAACAGTCTGGCTTTTTCAGGAAACTGGAAAACATTTGTTTCAGCTGGAATCTTGTTGACAGAAGAGAACCAGATCTGGGAGAAGAAACTAATCCAACTGTGAAAGGACTTATGTTCCATGCTGAAGAGTTTGGGTTTTCTGAAGCCATGACAGTGTTTCAAGTAAAGGAAAAGTAGAAAGAATCTTACCTCAAAATGATAAAGCAAATTGTCCTCTTGAGAGCATGAATAAGGCACTTACTTTGCTTTTGAACACAGTACCGTTCTGTGATCAGGTTTATTTCCCCTGTGGTGCCATACTTCATTCTGTGTAATTGAGATGGTTAGATACATTCCCGAGAACTGTGCAGGGAACAAATGCTGCTCATAGCTACAATCCTATTATGAGTCTAGTCAGCGAGTGGAAGTTTTTGGCACCAAGGATCACCGTAAACTTGCAGGAATTGTGAGAGAAAAGGCGGTTCTCCTCCGTTATCAGAAGATGATCCCCCCAGAAAAAAGATGGTCCCCAAATTGTGAGGAATATTTCATTAATCCACACTGGTTAGTGGGACTACCAAGTGTTTATTTATTCACTGTATCTGATTAATTTCTACTGAATTCTGATGTGGGAAGGATTGTATACCAATCACAATGTTTTGGTTGGGAACAATACAGAGCCCTGCTTTCTTTGAGCTTACATTCTGGTGAGGGAGGTAGACTAAGTATATAAATCAATGTCCTCATTACTTTCATTGCTGGGACAAAATACTTGACAACCTAAGTTAAAGGAGCAAAGTTATATTTTGCCTCACAGTTTGTAGAGGTTTCAGTCCATAGTTGTCTAGATCCAGGGCAGGGCAGCATGGCAGCATGCAACACATAGGATAAAAAGCTTGTGGCAAGATAGTCAGGAAGTAGCAAGCCGTCTTTCCCTTTTTATCTATCCAGGGTGCAAGCCTACGTGTTGGTATCACTCACACCCCATTTGAGTCGTCCTTCTTCAGTAAATCCATCATCCACACCTAGAACTCCGTGTAAATTAATCAACTGTGCTAAATCAATCAGTAAATGAAAAGAAGATATAAGAGAATGATTAGTACTGTGAAGAAAAGAAACAATTTGCGATGATAGATGGGAGAGATACTTATTCATAATCAGATGGTTTGGGGACCCAAATACAATGAAGACGTAATCGCAGGTTTTGAAGAATGGCATCTTCACCGTGCTTCCATTCTTACCACCTCCTTGGTGAAAACAAAGATGTTTTGAGGAACCAGCTCAATTCATATCTTTTTATATTCCTAGAATATTTAATTTAGCTCACATTTACTTTTAATGTCAGGTATCTTAAAGAACATTAATTTAGTGATATACTTTTTTATTACTTATTTCATGAACAATTTCATCTGAACTGTTCATTGTCAATGTCTTTACCATGACTAGAATCATTCAGTGGTTTCCAGCGCACAAGCTGAAGCATTTTTTGCATCTATATATGATATGTCCTCCTTTTTTTCATCCAGGCCACCAGCTCTTATTTTTTATAATGATCTCAATAACTTCACGTTCTGAAAGGTGTCTACTGGTGATGCAGTTTAACTGTGTACGTTCTTTTTTTTTTTTTTTTTTTTTGTGTGTGTGTGTGTGTTTTTTATCGGTACCGGGGTTCAAACTCACGACTGCCTGCTTGCAAGGCAGGCACTTATGCCACTGAGCTAAATCCCCAGCCCACATTCTTTTAATATCAGCATTAAAAGGCTAGTTTCATTATTTGCAATACAAAAAGGAAGTTTGTATTAAATGTCTTTGCTACGTTTTACTCACTTTTAATAGAACACTGGATCTTAGCCAAAAGGCTGGGAAGTGATGAAGATTTAAGTTCGAAACTAGAATTTGGATGAGTTAATGTTTTCACCGGACTATTCTCTACCAGTCTACGAATAGAGTTCATCTTTTGAAATTTAAATGTTTTTTAAAAATTTAAATGTTTTAGATACATGTAATTTAAAAAGACAAATACTTGTACATGACCGATTAGGAAGAAAACAGAGTTAACAAGAAATAGATTTCAGATAACACACACAATATGAAATATAAAGGATTTACAAATAGAGTTACAATGGCCCCCTGCAGATTCAAGGGTGAAAGAATGCACGAGTCATCCACCCTGGAGAGCAGTAGGATCCAGTCAAATGTTGAAGGCCTGGAGCTCAGGGCGAAGCCCGGTGCAAGCCTGTTTCAGAAAGCTGAGGCTCTGTCTGTCTAGGATGGCTGCAGAGTGCGCTGGAACTCTGGAGGGGCTGGAGATAACTTCCCAAGGCAATGGTGAAGATTGGAAGTCCTCTAAAAAAGCAAAAGGAAGGCTTCCTTCTTTCCCTTTCCATTCCATTCAGGCTACTAGCCTTTTGGTTGATGACACCCACATCCAGGACAGGTCTGGCCTTCTGTGTTTGCAATTTACAAGTCAGTCATGCAGACACTCGTGGCTGTGCTCCTCTAATTCACTCAGTGTTTCTTAATCCATTCAAGTTGACATCACACTAACCTCTCTATCACACAGGGTAGCTGAGCTTTCCTTTTTGTTTATTTCAAGTCGAGCATGGTGACTTAGCAGAAAAGGGCAAAGTGATGGGGGAGCTTTTTTGAGTCTAAATATTTCTGAAAATATATTTAATTTACCCTCATACCCCCTGATTGTTTGGTAGGGTATAGAATTCTAACTTAGATATTATTTTCTCCACAATTCTGAAGACATGGCCTTATTTTTGTTAAGCTTCTGCTATTGTTGTAAGCAAGCCTAGTGACATTCTGGTCCCTAATCTTTTTATGGACTTTTTTTCCCCTCTTTTTTGGGAAACTTTTTGCTTTTTAACTTCTGATTTCAACACCAATATGTAAAAAGATTGGAATATGTCACTCCCATATTTATGATAAAAAAAACGCTGAGCAAACAAAAAGTAATTTTTCCTTGGACCCATCAGACAATAGAAGCGACAAAGAAATTTGTCACCTGGAAATCTGATGACTGAGATCACTTTACCTTCCATCCACTGGCAAGGTAATTCTAATGGCTTACTTAAGGCTGAGTGTAGACCAGTGTAAACAGTGAGAAAGTGATGGAGGGCTGTGATCTTAACCGAGGATTTTAACACTTTCATGGATTATACACCAGGAATCTCACCAAGTTCTTATGGTGAAGAGCCAAGAAAAATTCTCCTAAGTTTCTAGCAAAGGGAAAAGAAAAATTCTTTCTGAAATATGTCTGGAATATTCTCTATGGAAAAGACTTGCTTCCAGGAGAGAATTCGGGCAGAAACAGCTCCTTTTGTTGGGGCTGAGGACAGATGGCAGTTGCCCACTTCACCCTCTTCAGCCTCCCCGCCTTCAAAGGGTTGGGGGTTAGAGAAAAGTCTAAGAAACACTGATAATGATTTCAGCTCGGAGACTGAGATTTAATCAAGGACTGCTTACCTTCTCCGTATCTTTCTACCACATCAGCAGGGCTCCAGGATAACCACAGGGGTTTACAGCTAAAAGAGCAGCACGAGGCAGACTGTAAAGAAGTTATTAGGGATACCCAAGGACCATGGAATCAAGAAGGAGAACACTAAGAAACTTGAAGCTTTAGCAACATTAAACACAGCCCAACTCCTAGCCAGAGTAATATAATATCTCATGGGTAGTT